CCCCGTGCAGAATGGGCAAGATTCAGCCCAGGTAGAGGACAAAAAAGGCAATGGAGAGGCTCAAAGATTGGAAAAATGCTCTTTTTACCAACAGCAGTGAGTTTTTCCAAACTCATACTACCTGAAACATAAAAATTAATCATTAAAATAGTGCTTATTTTCCATAACTGAAACATTCTGCTAAAAATAGGCTAAGGCAAAAACAGTCAAAGGCAATAAACAATACTCTCCTGCGTTCTCACTTGCAAATGAAAGCAAACTTACTCAAGAAAGACTCAAGCTCACAGCCAAGCTGTCAGAAAGGTTAAGTTTGATGTCCAGAGAGAAAGGGTATCCGGAGGACTTTCCTCCTAGAGTCTGGAATACTTAATCAGTATTCTGGTCTTCCTGAAAAGAGCCAGAGGGGTGGGCAGAGTCCAGGCTGGGCACCAGGTGTCACACACAAACCTGATTAGAAACTCACAAGATGAGTGACACCGAGTGGAAACGGACACGTGGGCCTCCACGTGCAGGGTGTGACAAACACCCAGGTTTGCTCCCGGCAGCAGTGCACTTCAGAGCTGGTGCCCATGACTAAATTACTTTACTCTCTCTCTCTAAGCCTAGGTTGTTGTTGTTGTTGTTTTTTAAAGAGTTTATTTACTGAATTTTTTTAGAGAGAGGAAGGGAGGGAGAAAGAGAGGGAGAGAAACATCTGTGTGGTGGCTTCTCCAGTTCTGGGGACCTGGCTAAGCCTAAGTGTGTCATCTGCAAGAACAGGGACATCAGCAGTATGTGCCCCTTAGGACTGGTGTGAAGATTAAGGACAACCCACACAAAATGCCAGGTACACCACGGACACTTGCGGGTTTAGTCCTCCAGCTACCTCCTCCGCTCCGTCATTACCTGCTAAAGGTGGAAGCGGAATTCTAGAAACTGGAAAATCAGAGCAAGCGTTAGAGAACACAGGCTTCAGTTTACTCTGAATCCATCAAACAGATATAATAAATCAAATGAACACAAACAAGAAGAACCAATTTTCAAGGCCAAAAAATCTAACTACTAAAATATACCCACTCAAAATTTAGCATAGCTGATAATTTCGAATTAAAATAAAGAGTTAATACTAATTAGCAAAGCTTTTCTAATTGTAATGACCTAAGTTGGTCAGAGCACAGTGAAACAGGCACTGTAACGTTTTTTACAAAGTTATCCAGTGTCAGAAGTCATTAAATATTCATTACAATTTTACCCAATAATTGCATTTCTAAATAATGATTCCTAAAGAATGAAACCAAAATATTGGTTTCATTCTTTAGGAATCATTAAAATTTGATGTGCATGACAATGTTCACAACATTATTTATAAAGCAATGTAAATTATATACCTTATGAAATGCAGCAATAAAAGGATGGAAACAAACACTGTGAGAAAAACGTGATAAAATACTATCTAAAAAAAGCTAAGATACTAAACTGAATAGAATCTATGATTATAACATGAAAAATTAATTTGTATAGTAAAATGTTAACAGTGGTTATATTAAGGAAGTAGGGTATTTAAAGTAATTTTTTAGCATTTATAGTTTCCACTTTAGAATTACGGGCAGGTTTTTTTCTTTTGAAAAATAAACGTGCATTTGACTACTGTACTGCAAACTGCTTTGATAAAAATCAGATTGCCCACTGACACTCATTTCATGCACTTTCTTCTGCTAATAGTACAGCCGGCATAAGGGAACTCGCAGCTTCTAGAAGCACTGTTTTCACAGATTAACATCAAAACGCTTGCCTTTTAAAAAAAAAGGTATAATTCTCCATAGAACAGCCTGTCTCACTCATCCTTAGCCTGTCTTCATTTCTACCCATTTCCACTTTCAAGTTGAAGAAAGAGGAAGATGGAACAGAACAAACCAGAGCTTTTATCCACGGCCGGATCTTGTTCCCTGGAGGTGCCCAGCAGGTACCTAGGTAAGGTGAGGTCACCGTAGTACCTCCACCTCCGGCAGCCTCACCAGCTCACACACAACAAACACAGGGATAGAGCACTAGGCCTTCCCTAGTGGCCTGTCCATGGCGTTTCCCACGAAAGGAGCCTCAAGTGCTTTACAGTAATCCACCCACATCTCCATCTTTAGCAGATCAGAGCAGGTGAGAGAATAAATATTAGCAGAACACGGAGCCCATTTCTGTACTATCAGGCAAGGAGATGGACACAGTGGTCTCACTCAGAGACCATCCTTCTTGTCCAGAAGTCTATGATGTATTGACCCAGCAGCCTCCTAAACCATCACCATTTAGGACAGATAACCCTTTAAGCACAAGGGAATATGTTGGTGAAACTGGAAAGAGTCCTGCCCATCTCTTGGGGCAAAGACAGCTTGAACCTCACTCACTGCTGAGTTTCAGATCCAACCCTTGGAGTTCAGGCCACAACGAGAGCATATGAAGCAGGACTGGTGTGAATGCAACTTCATTTACCCTGTCAGCCGAGGGCTGTGCTGTTGGAGCCATGCTGGCTGGCTGGCATGGCCAGGCTCACAAAGGGGCCTTGCAGTTCTGAAGCCCAGCCTCAATGGCCTGTCTGTTATGTCTCCTGGGACATTCTGATGTCATGTCCAACCAGCCAAGCCTGGCTAGTGACTCAAGTTCCACACACATGTCCTCTTTTTTTGACGTCACAAATTTGAGACAAATGACACTTTCCACAAATAAAGGAGTAGATCTCCAAGAAGTGCTTCCCTCCTCCCCTTCCTATGTCTCCCACCTTATATCACACCTATTGCCAAGTGACAAAAAGCAAACATTAAAAAAAGAAAAAGATTATTTAAAAATGAAAAAAATAAATATCTTCCTAAAAAATAGCAGCAAACCAATCCACATTATGCACTGCTGTTTAACAAATGGGAAAGACAAAAGGAAGGAAAGGATGGCATTTGGGGATATTTTCACCTCTGTCAACCTCTAGAGGTTGAGCCAAACATTCAGGAAAAATGAAATGTCACCAACCAAACAATGATACCATTCTGGGGTAAACACCATGGATTATTTTAAACTATGGTAAACCAATGTAGTACAAATACCAGAGCTTTGAAGACTACTTTTTTCCCCTCAAACCTGATAGTTTTTGAGTTTAAATTTCTCCCTTGGCTTAAGGAACTGTAAAAAGGTAAGAACAGGAGCCCCCAGAGCCCCATCTGGGAGTCCCCAGTGGAGCCGGACCACACCCACTTCAGGAAGAAGGTGTTCTGCTGCCTGTCAGAAGTCTGAATCTCAGTATGTGCTTCAAAGCTGGCATCCCCAGCCTAGTGGGAGGGATGTGCCGGTGCTGGGAAATGAGTGCATGATGGGCCAGCTTTCTGGCTGCCAAGGCCCAGTCCCTCCCTTTGCAGAAAGTGTACAGCCAAGGTATGCCCTACACATAGCTGCGGGGTCGCATCAGAAGCTTCAGCACATTCAATTTAGAAACAGATAAATAAAGCCCTTTGTGAGAATGAAGACATGTCCAATAAATAGACAGTGACCATCTGTCTCCTCTTCTCACACTCCATGCTCCCTGCAAGCAAACTTAGCAACATTTAAAAGCTGGGAAATCCCCAATATGTATCTTCAGACCCAATTTCTCTCCTCAGAGCTTGATTTCCAGGTCTTATTTTCAAGTGTCCTATTCCTCAACTTTCTTATCTAGACAATCACTAAATCCTGTCAATTCTATTTCCCTGACTCTCTTAGAGTGTAGTGCTCCCCTGCACCATGTCCTCAAACCCACAGCACCCTCCGTAATTCTCTTCTGGACTGCTGAGACTGTCCCTGAAGGTCCTCATGGCCCCCATTCTCCCTTGCCTAGAATTTGTCCTTTCTGCCATTGAAGCCAGCCTTTCTATCAAACATCAACTTAGCCTCTACTTAAAAGAGTTGTTTCTGGATAAATTCTAAACTCCTTAGCATGACACTTACAGACCTTCACCTACTGGTCTCAATTTCCCTGTCCAAACACATCTTCTGCCACTTCTTACCACACCCCATCCCGTAGTGCTCTACGTCACTGCAGCACACTCTGCATCACATTCTACATCACTCCAGCACAGTCCAGCACACTCTGAATCACTGCAGCACACTGCAAAATTTTGGACCTAAATGGTTTGTCTGAAGAGATGACATTCCCCCTATATAATACATCCATCCTACTACTTCACCTCTACGCCATAACACTTATATATCCTTGAAGACCCAACTCAGACATCACCTCCTCTGTGAAGCTGTGCCCACTCCCTGCAGCTGGGGTCACACTATCCTCTCAGGTCCCCTAGAGCTCTCTGCACACTTCTACCCTAAAACAGCACACCACACTGCAATGTTCAGATGTTGTTTCCCTGAGATCGTATCTTTATCTCTGACCCTGGCACAGGGCTGCACAGCATACACCTTCAGTAAGTGCTATTGAATCTATCAACCAGTTGGAAGAGGAATTAGGGCAATGGAGGGAAAAGATTCTCACGATCAGGACACTTGAGCTGAGCTCCAGCTGCCTCAGAGTGTGTACTGTGGAAATTTATTAATCTCTCCAGGCTTTAGCTTGTCATCTATTTAATAAGGGGGTGGGGCTACATGATTTCCACCGTCCCTTTAAGTCCTCTGTTCTAGCATTCAGACTACATTTTCCTTTAAAATCTACAATGAAGAAAGATTCCACAAAGCCCCGTAGTAATAATATGTTCCAGGAGTCTGGATGTTCTCCACAAAGGCGGCCAGGAAAATCCTGCTTTGCCTGGCCACCAGGCAGGGCTCCCACGGATGGCCAACAACTGAGGCTCCTCCCCTAAACTCCTGAATCCCCAGTTGCCCTCTGTTCTGTTCTACTCTACATATTTTGGCCAAAAAGTGGCTTATTAAATATTATGCACAATAGAAAAAAAACATGACGACAAAAGCCTAACATGCCTTGCAAATATTAACAAAAGCTAAAAACATAACTGATGGCTTTTGAAAAGCTGAGTGAAATGGCCAGGCTTGACAATCACCTCGTCACCCCGTACTCTGGGGGCGGCTGGTACCTCAGGACGGCCACTTCTGTTCTCGCGGGCTGAGGAGCAGGGTAAGGCTTGACCATCTCGTGGAGCATACCAGGGTGCTGGTCGCTGTAGTAAAGTCCATGCTCCTGGGTCTTGCTGACCGGGGACATCATTTGCTTGGTCTTGAAGGGGTACTCGGGTGGAGGGCCCCGGGGGTCCAGCACTTTACCTGCAGGCTGGGCTGGGGAGGGTCCCCCTCCTGCCTTGAAGCCCTTGCCACTCCCTGAGCCAGGGAGGTGCTGCTTAGCACCGTTCCTCTCCAATGACAACTGCATGATTCTTTCACTGAGAGAGCGGACATGGCCCTGCTTCAGTTCTTTCAGTGCCTCATCCTTGTGTGCCTGCCCACTGTTGGCACGGTTCACCGTGGGCCTCCCCTCAGTCCGGGACTTCTGGCTGTTGCCTCCTGCCATGTAGTAACCATGACCTACAGCCCCCTGCTGCTGCTGTTGCTGCTGCTGCTGCCCCCTAAAGAACTGGGACTGTGCTTTGGCCTCCTCATAAGTAGGCAGTTCCTCGTTGTTCTGCTGAGGCTGCGTGGACCGGACCTGTTTCTCCATCACCGTATTGTCCACCTGGTGTTCTTGACCCTGCGGTTCCTGGCGTGCCGACTGGTAGACCATTTGTGGGTCTTCTTGAGTGAGGTTTTCCGTGGAAGAAAAGTTGTTTGTAGGGTGGACTGGTCCTGCACTCCCTGTGGCCTGGTGCTGAATGGCCAGCAAGTTCATGTTCTCGGTCGGGGTGCCATACCGCAGTTGTTCCTGGATCAGCCGCTGCAATACTGTTCCAGCTGCCGCATCCTCGGAACCTCTCATTTCCACCTCTGAGATCCTCAGGAAGTTCGGGGAGTGGAAGTTACAAAGAGGATCCTCAACTAAAAGATAAACAGAGGAAGAAAGGTATCAGGTTATTGCACAAGAATATAGGTCTGTCAGTAAGTGTAAATAATTAACATTCTAACCACAGCAGCGGGTAACAAGATTTCAAATCCACCACCACCTCCACGTATCCTGCAGTTTCTCATGGAAGTGTTTTGCCAACTCACACTGTCTCTAATACTCTCCCTTCCCTTACCTCTTGCTTCCTCCCAGGCCTAGCTTCATTCTTCACCCACTCCCTTCCCTTTAATATCCCCACTGGCACCTTCTCTTCTTCATATAAACATTCCAAGTCTTTCCCATTTTAAAAAAAGACATGCAAAAAACAAAACCAAATAGAAAGAAACCTACTTCTCATGGCCTACGTGTCCCTCTAACTGCCACACTGCCTCTCTCCTTCCCTCCACGTTTAAATGCCCTCAGTAAGCCATCTCCCACATGCTGCCCTTTCTCCTGCTCTGATTACTAACCAAGCCCAGTGAGAATTTTCCAGTGCTTATATTACACAATCGACCCTTCCGAGGCACCGGCATGTTGATCACCCACTTCTCAAAATGCTCTCCTAACTCGGCAAGCAGGTCCTGCCTCCTGCTTCTCAGTCCACTCCTCTGGCTCCCTTTTCTCCAACTTCCCCTTGAATCCTGATGTTCCCCGCAGCTCTGCCCTGAGTGCTCTTCCACCCTCACTCGACAGAATCTCCTCGGTTGTCATCACACCCACTGCTCACCTTCAATGACTGACCCACGACCCACAGCTGCCAGCCAATGGCCCATGAGTCCTTCAAACTCAACATGCCTTCTTCATCCCGAAAGGTTTACCCACCGAAGCAATCCAGTATCACTGCATTGTCTAATTTTTGCCTAGCGAGAAATCTGGTAGTTTCCCAGAATTCCTTCCTCTTCCTTAGCCACAACATCTAGTCAGTGACTGCCTATCAATTCTACCTCCGAAATCTCTCTCCCAGCTCTCCCCTATCCCCATGCCAATCTCCAATGTGATTACTAATAACCACAATACAACTACAAGAACCATTTTTAAAGTGCACATGATATGCCACTGTACTAAGTTCTCTCCATATATTCATTCATCTCATATGCAATCATGAGGTAGATATTAATTCCCCAATCTTACAGATTAGGAGAGAGGCTGAAGAAAAGGTACAGCACAGAGGTCCAGAGGTGGGAAGAGACAGAGCCAGGACCTGACTCATTCCACAACAAAATCTGTGTTCCTTCCACGCCTTATAAGCCCATGGTGCCCCCAGACCATTCATTCCAACAGCCTGCTTTCTATTTCTCTGACACTAGTCTCACTTCTATTTCCAAACCCACCTTTTAGACCCCAGCCTATCTCCTGCACTACCCTGCAAGGTTGCCCAAATAGGAAAACCTAACCACACCAGTCCTCTGCACAAAAATCCTCAGTAATGAACTACAGGACGAAACTGACATTCTATCCCATGGTGCAGTGGCTACTGCCTTACCTATCCAGCAATATTTCACGCTACCACCGCCCACCCTCACCGGCAACCCCTTGGAGTTTAAGCTCCAACAATACCTAAGAACATATGCTGGCTCTCTGGCCTCTAGGCCTTTGCTCACATTGTCCCTCTGCCTAGAAAGATGTGGCTCACCATGTCCTCCTGGGAGATTCATGCTTCATGTGATGGTGCCAAAGCTACCTTCTAGGAAATCCTTTCCCACAGCAGCCCAGCAGACTTGAGCCCTCCTGCGCTCGCATATATCTCAGAAGAGCAATTACTGCAGCAGATGGCAATTCTTTACACAAGACCATAACCTCCTTAAAGTTCAGGATTATGCCTTCTTACCTGGGTCTCCCTAGCACACAACCCAATGGGTGTATCAAACATTTAACCAGTAAAAGAATACTACATGATTTCCACAAAGCATAAAATTTATCCCATTTCACAACAGTGCTAGTAAGTAGTATATTGAGGATATCATCTAGCATTATGATAGTAAATGTTCTTCCACTCACTACTGGCATGACCTTGAGCAAATCACGTACTCTCTTCTAGCTCAAAAGCCTCACCTATAAACCGAGGAAGATGAACTAGATCATCTCTAAGCAGTCTTCAGTACCACAATTCCATGCAACGATGGCTCTCTGTTTCTGTGTATACATAGAACACGTCATTTCCCCAGAAACTGTCTTTCTTTCCCAAGGTTGCCTTTTTTTTTCTTTTTACACCTATAAATGGCATCCTCATATGAGTCATCCTGATAGAAATTTCAGATTTACTTTTGACGCTTTGTCTCCTTTGCTCCCTACATTTAATCGACTGCCACGCTAGGTTTTTAGTCCACAGTGAAATGAGGGAAAATAAAGGTGGTATGATATACTTACAAGATGTATAAACTAACATGTACTCACATATATGTGAGCACGTGCACACACACACATCATTAGGTTCACTGTCTTTTACTGGCAAGGTCTGACAAGGGCTACATACCACTTACTCTTTTTGGCATTCAAATATGAGAAAAGGTGACAGTAGATGACATTTTTAGTGTCCCTGCAATTGTGAAGACTGCAACCCTAGCTGCCATGCCCTCAGCTGCTCCCCAGCTGGCTCTGCTTAGCAGTGGCTCAGCTGTCTGGAGCAACCTCTTAATATCTCTTGCTTCTGGCCTCTTCTCTTTTCAATCCAGATGGTATTTGTTATCTGTCTTCCTCTACTAGGATTCAAGCGCCAGAGGGTGACAGTTTTATCTGTTACAGTCAATGTAGTGTCCCCAGGGCCTAGAATACTACCCTGACCCACAGAAGGCCTTCTAAAAGTAACTGCTGAGTAAACCAAAGAACTTCACAGACTGGGTCCTGAAGCTCGACTCTGATCACATCATCCTCCCCGTCTCCCCAAAATCACACCTCTGTGACCTCCGACAAATCACTCGCTTTCTCTGAAGCTCTCTCCTCTGTAAAATGGGCTGACTTCATATGTGCCTGATAGGACTGTGTGTGAAGTAAATGCAAACTTACTCTTTACCTTCAGAGAATGGACTTGTAACTGAAATATAAATCCAAAGTTCAACAGTAAAAAATTTAAATAGTAAAACCAGACCACTGAAAGTCCACACAGGATGAGTACCAAATAATCATAATAAGTGATGAACAACCCAAGGAACAGTCAGTGTGGGTTGAACTGGGTCATCATTCACTCAGCAAAGACAGACCGAAAACCTGTTACAGCCAGGCATCCTGACAGATGCCGGGGGCAGGAGAGTAAAAAGGTAGTCCTCACCCTCAGGATAACTCATCTAAAAGACTTAACGGAACAAGCAAATTCACAAATAAAAATCAGTATTTTTTAATAAAACAAATAAAAATTCTATTGAAATAAAAATATGTTTTCAGAGGAAAACTGTATTTTGGGGATGAATAATAAAAGGAATGGGGGCCCTGACCAGTGTAGCTCAGTTGGTTGGGTGTTGTCCCAAAAAGTGAAAGGTGGCCAGTTCAATTCCCAGCCGGGGCACACGCCTGGGCTTTGGGTTTGGTCACTGGTCAGGGCACGTACGAGAGGCATCAATGTTTCTCTCCCTCTCTTTCTCCCTCCCTTGCCCTCCTTCTAAAAAAATAAATAAATAAACAAACAAACAAATACATAAATATTTTAAAGGAATGAGGTCTTCTCAAGCATGAAAACTATTAAATTATCTTTTCATAAGCACGTTTGGAGCCTTAGATCCTTCCCTAAACTGGTTTTAAAAATTCCCTCATAGTTTTACCAACCCCAGAAGACTTCAAAAATAGGGCAGAAGTTTTTACAAAGGAGGTAGTTACCTCCCTATTGTAGTTTTGAATTTCTTCTGAACTTCTGAATTATTTGCCAAAAGATAACAATGAAGCACAGAAGGGGAAAACAAAGGAAAGATTCTGGGAAAGAATACATAAACTATTTAGGAATTAGAAAAATTTAGAGAAAATAAATGGTATAATTCTGGAGTTCCTACATACCTAGAAACTTTCTGTGGAGAGAGTCACAAATTATAGCTAAATAGTCTATTAATACCATAGCACAAATATTAAAAATAAGGCATCTGCCAATAAAGAGTCAACCAATAACCCCATATGCTGATTTCTTAAAATGAGCATAGAGGAAAAACATTATGCAAAAAGAGCTAAAAATGGGACACATAAGATCATTTTGTTTACAACAACACAAGTGCCAGTGAAAGAAGTGAAAGAACTCACCAACTTTTTCCCTGATGGCACCGTTTGGCTCCACCGTCAAAGCAGGTGCTTCATGCCTCCCAGCATAGAGTGGAAAGTCCGGGAAAAAGTAGTTAGGTTCTTCTAGAATCTGGCCAGGACTACTGGGACTGTAACAAGCAGGAGGCAGACCTGCAGGGAAGAAAAAAGCAAAGTGCCCATTAGTGCCATAAAGTTCTCCCCTCCTTGCTCCCTGTGTGACTCACAAGAGCCCACGAGGCATTCTCCCACGTTTCAACTTGCACTGGGAGCTCTGTCATTTTGATTCATAAAATTCCAAACATACTATTCAGAAGTATCACCAGGCCGGCCACTCACCAAAATGACCCCTGAGTCAAAATAACAATCTCCAAGACCTGCTGAGCGAAGGCACCGACACTTTCACACAACCTCGTGTGAAGGGCAGCGGCACCACCAACAAGTCAAGTCCTCTGCGACCCTGGAAAAGTCACAAAGTTCCGAACAGGCGAGGAGGGGGGCAGAATACAGGGACATGAAGAGATTGGAGAGAAGGGTGGTCATGCCACAGGACACATGTTTGCAGGACTGCGTCCCAGCCCAGGACAGAGCACTGAGCCCGACACTGAGGTGTCTGGGGCCTCACGTGGCAGCAGGCAGCCAGGGGCACAGGTTCTGGCCCTCGGCCAACCACTGGACTATCAGCTCCAGCTTATCTGCTCTGCACACAAACCGAAGTGTGCTTCCTGCTTCAATTAAATATGACACTGTATTCAATCCCACAGTGACCAAACCTGCGATACCACTACCATAACATTGATAGTGCTCACACAGCATCGTGGGAACATTCACCAGGATGAGTCTGCTGTACCGATTCCTCTCCCTGCACCAATTTCTCTGTGTGGGCACCCCGTTTAAAGCTCTTTTTGGCAAAGTAACTTAGTTAACTCTGGGGGAAAGAATCATGCTTTTTTTTTAACTTAAAGTCCTTGCCTACACGATAATTCCATTACAAGTAATGTTTTTCAGCAATCATTTCAAACTGGCAATTTCAAGTTTGCTAGATTTGTTATCTACCCATTTCCCACAAGGCCAAAGCTAGAAGGAAACTAGCTTTGAATAACTAATTATTCTGAGGCCATAAGACGGGGATTTACTCATCATCTTTCTGAGTTTCTTTCCTCATGAAATATTTGCATTAATATGTGTGCTCTTAGGCATCATGGGCATGTTTGGACTAGGTAGAAAAAAGATACTGACAACTAGAATGTTTATCTCATGAAGTTAAAATTAAATAATGTAGTTGTGATTTTCATCTTAAAGATAAATATAAACCAAGTAAGAATGATATAATGTGTGAAGATCAGCTTAGAATTACAGTTCCAATGCATATGGCACCTCTCTGTTAGCGTTCCCTTTTTTTGCCAACCCGCAAGGACTGCCCTGGAGAGAAACTCCGTCTCCTCTGGGCCACATCCTCTACATTGACCGATCTGAAAGTCTAGGGCTAAAATTAGGAGTCATAATGGCCTAGGTCCAAAGGCTGATCCTGACCTGGCTTCTACTTCAGGCAGGTGGAAAATGTTGGTGGAAAATTGGAGAGGGGCAAGGGCCAAGGTAACCTTGGCCATGCAAAATACAATTGCCTGGAATTAAAAAAACCCCAGTACCAAGGCCTCACCCAGACCTCGTCAATCAGATCTCTGGGAACAGGGCCCAAACACTTATATTTTATAAAGCTCCTCAAACGCCTCCAGTGTGCAGCCACAGTGAGAAGCCCTATGCTTGTGGAGAACAGTACTCATAAGCAAAAAACAAAAGCCACAAAAACACATCTTAGTACCCTGAGGACCACCCCCCACCCACTTGGAGTCCGACAGGTGCTGGGGACCCACACACTTCAAGAAAAGGAAGTGTGATTTTTTAAATCAGTGGATCTGGGTCAGGAATGGCATGTGCCAGCATGTTACAACTTTGGGTGATACTAGTCACATGACTAAGAATTCTAAGTGGTAACAGAGCAGGTTGCTAACAAAGTTGAGGTCTAAATAAGGATACATGTGCCTGTGCATGTGTATATGGAGGAGGGTAGGAGTGCGTGTGTGTGTGTGTGTGTGTGTGTAGATATACACTTCCAATATGGAGCCCAGGGAAGAACTTTGCGCTAAGCCATTCCTAGTCACCGCAACCCACCCTGTTCTCCATACCCAGGAACAAGAGCCTGGGGAAACCAAGAGGGTTTTAAGATGCCACCCCCACCAGGGTCCCTTCTAGCCTGGCTCAGGCCCAGCGACTAAGGAGTGGTCCAATTTTTAAGGGATCCCAGGCCACTCAGGGGCTCTGCTGGCTCAACCACGTGTAACATGCATATGTGTTGCCTCTGGGGGCTTCACAAACACTCTTATCATGTAAGGTCCTCTGAACTGAGTAACCTGCAGTCACCTGTTTCTTTCCAACCAGGACCTTGTCTAAGGGTCTCCGCTCACTCAGCTTTAGCCTGCAAGGGGAGAGTGGCAAAAGCAATGGCAAACAAGCTTAAGTCAGTGTCAAGGAGTCGGCCCTCTGTGGGTCTCCCTCTGGGGAAGGGCAAGTGCAGCTCTGAGGGGCCCCATGGGAAAGCTGCAGATCTGTTTGTATCACACTTGACAAAGGGTGAAACTGGGAAATTCTAACTGGACAGTTCAACATTTCTGCCCTATATTGACTATAACCCATTTCACCAAGAATGGTTCCTTTTTCTGGACAAAGTCTGCATGCCATTTGTCAACAAGAAGAATCTTTGCTTTTCTCTCTATGAGCATGACTGTTTTTGGCTTGCTTCTCAAGCACTAAAAACTTCCTTCCCATTATGGTTTCATGCTGTTACTTTCTTTGTCAGTGTCTAGCAGCCTTTAGGTACTGTGACCCTGAAAAAGACTTTTCCCCCTTGAATAGAAGCAACAACAAAGGGCCTCATTGTTGAAAGAAAAATGAATTATGGCAAAACGAAGTGAATTTTCCGGGGGAGCCCTGGTGACCTGCTCATCTGCTTCACCTCCACCATAATGACTTACTTCCCTAAGATCGGACCCGGAGTCGCTAACCAGGCCAACCTAACAGACTCATAAGTTTCCTTTAGGTGTGAACACTGTAGGACATTCACACTCTCACCCCGCTACCACCCAACCTCACACAGCTGGGGAACCACCTGTCCTTACATTCCACTTCCAGCATGCCACTCGCATGCACAGAGCCACGCTGGCTATAGCTTTGCGTTCCAATTGTGTTTGGTTTTCAAGGCTGTCTACAGTCACACCCCTCCTTTAGGTGCCACCAGCTTCGCTGCTCGCCTCAGCATACCTCGAACGTGTCATCCTCATTCCCCAAATCCCAGCTAAGAATGTCATCTGCGTGTCTCACAGTCCCCCCTCCGAACTACTGGAAAGTTCTCTCCGGTCGATTTACCTCTTCAGCTGACCGCCACACCTTGGGCCTGCACTGTCCTTCCTCCCCTCAACCGCCACAGAAGTTATGATCGAAAGCACACAACTTAGCACGTCTCCTCGCACCGTGCAGTTCCCTGGAATGGGGGAGCATCTGCTCTCCCCTCTGCAGCTGACAGAGGTGCCCTGAGGTCTGCAGGCCAGAGGTCCATTCCTCAAAGAGTCCACGAACTGCGAACCTACTCCCAGGTGCTATATCACCCACGTGCACAGCCTTCGGCCAGCTCCACGTAATTCCAAACCCCCTAGCACATTTAAAAACAATTTCATTTTCTATATTAGTGTAACCTTCTAGAGATTTCAACTACAGCAACAAACAATTCTGCAGCTTCTACCTTCCCTTTCAAAGAGTTCAAGAATTTGCTGAGTGTGCTGGGGACCTCAAAGTCAAATACAAGCAACAAGCCTTTTGATTCTGGCAGGTTTTTCCAGGGACTGGAATGCTCTGCTCAAAGAGACAGATGCCCTACAGGCAAGGTTCAGAAGGGGCCTAGAGAATCCATGACTGGTACCTGAAAAATAAGGGCTGGCCTGTTCCCGAGCCCTCGAGTGAAACCACGCTAGCTCTCCCGTGTCAGCCAACTCACGTTCAAGGAAGCTGAGGCCTGAGTGAAGCACAGACAGGCCGGGTCCATGAACACCTGCATGCAACACACACACACGTCACAAAAGGACACATGAAGCTCCACCACTAAACTGAGAGCACACACTGGAGTATGCTTCCTCACTCTCTTGCCCCAAGGGACCAACATTTGCAACCCAGGACCGGAATGGGAAGGGGTGGGAGTGGGGAAGTTTTCCAAGGTTCCCATCCCCTACACAATCAGTCTTCTGGGCACCAGACTTGAATTTTAATTTCTGGGCCAATCCACCTAGTTTAGAAAACGACTAAAATAAATGCACCAGTAACTAATTTAGGCTCTCTCAAAGGGGGATGTTGACTCTTCCAACGTCTTGTGAAAAACTTTATCTAAGTTGTGTGATGTTAAACTGTGTAATGCTTATTTAGACATATTTCTGAGATATTATCAGTGTGAACCAAAATGCAGAATTATGCTTAACCTTTAAAATAACAACTGAGTTCAACAAGACACAAGGCAACTGAGTTCTCTGTTTGTGCTGGGAGTTACAAACACAGACATAAGGAAGACTGTCCTCCACCTGCGAATGTTATGATTTGGTTCTGCAGACCACGTGCACCCAGATTTCAGTGCAGAGTAGGTGCTCCATTAACAGGACGCAATGCTTTGGAGGCCTAGGAGTCATGCATTACTACCTGTTGATTGTGGGCAGTGATATGGAGTTGAAATGACAAAGAAAAAGAGACATGTGAGCTGAACTGGAAAAAAAATGAGGAGGATATATGCCAACCCGCTGTTGGGGGTGGGGAGGGTGCCAGTGAGGAAAGATCCAGCTGGCCAGCGTGGTAAAGGAGAAGCACAGCTGCTGAGTCCGGCACCTCTCGATGACAGAAAAGTCCAGCGTAGCTTGGGTATGGGTAAGGAAGAGGATGAAGCTCTATCTACAGACCCAGAATCTATTAGTGAAGGGGCCTTTTTAGAAGCATTAGTAGTACGTTATTTTCATAACACTACAAAAGCAGAAAGTAATTTAAAAATTAGATGGTTCAACTGCCAATTACTACGTACCATATTCCTGAGAGTCAATCACCTTTAAATATTTTTGGTGTTA